CTGCAGAGCTATTGCTGTACTCTTCTGCAGCCACTGCGGAACCCGAGGAACAACTTCCAATAACTGCCAATGTAGAAGCCGACCGGAAAACTCCAACAGGACTGGACAAGAATGAGGCAACCCAGTCAGCATTTAGAGTCCTCCCTAACAACCTCCAGCTACGCACACTATACAGATCAACGACCCCACACAACGATAACGTTCAGCAACGGTAAAAAGTTAAAAGCACTAATAGACACAGGAGCCCAAAATTCGTTTATAGGACAAAAAGGTAAAAAAATATTGGAACAATGTGGAACAAAAAGCGACAGAAAAGCTTTAAAGATCACGCTGGCAGATGGAAAAACCAGCAACATAGAAATCTGTTTTACAGCAAAATGTTCCATAGACAACGTTTGGAGAAAAGCCAAGCTACATTTTTTACCAAACCTAGCTTCAGAAGTAGTACTGGGAATGCATGAAATAACAAGATGGGGCCTTGATTTATCAAACATCTTAAATAGAAATCGCGTAAGAAGGAGAGAACAATACCCAACCAGGACAGAACACAAATCCAGATCGTACAATGCAGACAATAACCGAATACCGACCAATTCCAGGGTCAACGAAACACCAACCGAAAGATATCCGCTCCAACAGAGAAGCAAAATATATAACAAAACGACCTACCGACTACCGACCGATACCGCGGTCGAAGACCAGACCGAAGATATACCGAACTACCGACCGATACCGCGGCCGACGACCAGACCGAAGACATTCCGTCATACATACCGGAATTCACGAACAGTCCGAAACGAGAGCAGCTCGACATCAGTACTACACTAAACAATACCGAAAAAAAACAATTACAGGAATTGTTACTAACAGAATTGGAGAAATTTAAACAAATTAAAGGAACAACACATCTAACCGAACATACAATAAAACTCAAACATAATACACCGATCAAACAAAGATACAGGCCCCGAAACCCGGCAATGCAGCAGATCATAAACGATGAGATAGATAAGATGCTAGAAGAGAACGTGATAGAAAAATCTAATAGCCCGTACAGTTCCCCCATCGTCCTAGTAAAAAAGAAGGACAACAACGGATACAGATTTTGCATCGATTTTAGGAAAATCAACGACATCTCAGAAAAAGATGCCTACCCATTACCGTACATCAATCATATCCTAGAAAAGTTCAAATCTGCAAAATATTTTACCACGTTAGATCTAAAAAATGGATATTGGCAAGTACCACTTTCCGAAGCAAGCAAACCCTTGACCGCTTTCATAGCACCAGGAAAAGGACTATTCCAGTTCAAAGTACTTCCATTCGGATTACACGCCGCCTCCGCTACTTTTCAACGATTACTAGATACAATAATCGGCCCAGAAATGGAACCACATGCATTCGCCTATTTAGACGACATAATAGTACTGGGGAAAACGTTCGAGGAACATATGGAAAACTTAAAAGAAGTACTTCACAGATTACAGCAGGCCAAACTACGAATTAATATAGACAAATGTTAATTCTGCAAAGAAGAGATAAATTATTTAGGCCATGTAGTAAACAAAACGGGAATAAAAGTGAACGAAAACAAGACAAAAGCCATAGTCGAATATCCCGCGCCAAAAACCGTTAAACAACTACGCCGATTTTTGGGCATCATCTCATGGTATAGGAGATTTATAAAAGATTTTTCACGAACTACAGCCCCTTTAACAAAGCTACTAAAGAAAAAACAACATTGGACTTGGGACAGAGACCAAGAGGAAGCATTCAACAAAATAAAATTACTACTGACACAAGCTCCAATACTGATCTGCCCGGACTTCAAGAAAAGATTTTTTTTACAATCGGACGCTTCGAACCACGGTTTAGGAGTAGCTTTAGTACAAACAAACGACGAAGGACAGGAACAAGTCATCGCTTACGCAAGTCGAAACCTAACAAATGCAGAAAAAAAATTAGAGCGTGACAGAAAAAAACTACTAGCGATCATCTTTGGTGTAGAAAAGATGAAACCCTACATCGAAGGATACCCATTTTCAATTATCACAGATCATCAAAGTCTACGATACTTACAAACAATGGAAAACCCTACAGGTAGAATAGCTAGATGGGCAATGCTGCTGCAACAATTTGACTTCGATGTCATTTACAGAAAGGGCTCCCAGAACGTCCTGGCCGACGCGCTCTCTAGAGAACCAGTAGATCTGGTTTGCATAATAAACGTAGAAGATGTAGAACCCGACGAATGGTACAATAAAGCTTTAAATAAAATCCAGACAAATCCGCAACTATTTCCAGACTACTCTATCAAAGATGGACTTCTCTATCGACACTTCTGGGACAAATACGATTTAAAAGAGACAGAGTTATCCAACCCCTGAAAACTATGCATCCCAAACCACAAGAGACAACAACTCCTGGCAGAAAACCACGAGCAACCGACCGCAGGACATCTAGGAATAGCTAAAACAATAACCCGCCTAGCTAGAAAATACTACTGGCCAGGGATGTTTAAAGACGCCGCAAAGTTCGTCAGGAACTGCAAGAACTGTCAGCAATTTAAGCCGCAACAAAGCTTAACTCCAGGCCGCATGCAATCTACACAAATTCCCCCACATTCATGGGACACCGTTTCAACCGACATCATAGGACCCCTTCCAACATCCAGCAAAGGAAACAAATATATAATGACATTCCAGGACACCTTTTCAAAATGGGTCGAAGCCATACCGATCAGAACAGCAACGGCAAAATCAGTCTGTCAGAACTTAAAAGATAAAATCATTATGAGATTCGGATCACCCAAAGAGCTAATATCAGACAACGCAAGAACATACGATAACAGGGAAGTACGAAAGTTGCTAGACGAATTCCAGATTTCTAAAAGAAACATTCCGCCATATTCACCCCAGAATAATCCAGTAGAAAGAACAAACAGAGTAATCAAAACAATGATAGCTCAGTTCTGCGATAATAACCATAAGAAATGGGACACGAACCTTCCAGAACTACTATTCGCATATAATACAGCTAAACACGATTCAACGGGTTTCTCCCCAGCCTTCCTGAACTTTGGACACGAATTAGAAATTCCAAGTAAAGTCGTAAAAACCCCAAACGACACACAACATACCGATCAAAACATAAAATGGCATAAACTACGAACTACGCCTAAACATTCGAACTAGTACGTACAAACCTGGCAAAAGCTTTTTCAACTCAAAGCCATTACTACAACTTACGACGAAGAGAGTGGAAACCCACAATAAACGACAAAGTCATGAAAAGGGAATACCAACTCTCAAAGGCCGCCAAAAATTTTAACGCCAAATTAGCACCGAAATTTTCAGGCCAATATACTATAACAAAAGTGTGTTCTAATGTAATATTCAAATTAAAACACGACGATAAAAACCGTACAATAACAGCTCATATCAAAGACCTAAAACCCGCATTTACCGATTTCCCTACTCCTTAATCAGTCCAAGCACTTACAGTCAACACCAAGTAGTGACAGTATATTTTAATACAGTTTACCAGTAACCTTCAAATATAATGTCAGACACGTTAGAAATATATTACAGTGACATAGAAATGGACGGCACAATTACGCCGCCACCATACACCGTTCCAGAGTTAATATCACCATTGGGAACACACCAAAACCTAACACCCCGGGCAAAGGCTGCGAGCCCCTGATAAAGGCTATTTCCAAATTTAAAAACCTTTTCGATGAACCAACCATGGGCATCACAAAAGTTCAGAAAGTCCAGTCAATTCCAGTGTCAATCCCGCTGATCTCACTAATTCCGACGCATGCATAAAGGAAAAAAATACAGACTGAGACTCCCGAACCGGGTGCTGAGGATAAAAACAAATAATTGAAGCCCCACGAAGGAAGACGTTTTTTTTAAGAGAGAGGAAGACGATTTTTTTTAAGAAGACGATATTTATTTTTTTTAGGGCGGACATTTTTTATTTTGATGTATTATAATTTTTTTTTAGGGTAACCAAGTACCTGGAAAGGAATAAAAATTAAAAAAAAATTTTGTTCCAAATTTTTTTTTTCCCAGGAAGAGGGGGTGTAACGATGAGTCCAAGCCATCACCGTTAAACCAGCGAACCAACCCATGTAGTAGGAGTGTATCGACAGTAGAAAGGGCAAAACTAATTACCAAGCTCCGCTATATAAACCGCAACATTTCCTCATAGAGGCAGAATCGACAGGTGTTGACTGAAGGTTCCCTTCTTCCCTACCCTGGCTTGTGGACGTGTTGAGCTCACAAGTTGTTCCGTTCCATACCGCCGTCACCCGAAGAGCGTGTTGAGCTCTTCATTACCCGTACTCCGAAGCAGTCTTGTTGAGACAGTCGAGGAGGGTCCTATTAACCCGAATCACTTAAGGGACGTGTTGAGTTCCTTTCCTTTCTTTGTACCTATCGTCCGCTGTTATTAAATCGATACAACGTTCACGTAAAATTTCAAAAACACACTCGCTTGCCGATAAGATTCTGTCTCTGACTGTCCAAAAGCTACCCGGATAGTGACTCCTACGAGAGGACATCACAAAGTTGATTTTTTATCTCGTATGCAATTGAAAGACCTTATATTAGGTAATAAAGTCACGAAACACCAAAACGTTACACCGGGTAATAATTTGCAAAATAAGAAATAATTTTTTTTTGGGTCAAATAGACCAGAACAGGAGAGCAGGTTTAATATACTATTAAAGTCATTTTATTGCCGTACTTTACAATCGTAATCCAAGATTCTTATCATAAGGTCAAAACTCATTGTGTTAGTCAAATTTATTTTATATTGCATTTAATTCATACTCATATAAATTAAAACAGAATCTGATGTCCTCAATTCCAAAATAACCCTTCTCGCTACACACTTTTCGGACTTTCTGTACCATTTTGGTCACAATTGAGACAGCAAAATACTACTTGCTATAAAAGCTACAAATCTGGGTAATTTATTACAAATCTTACCTGGGTCAGTAATCTTTGCAATTTTTTTAAGAAGATTTAAGCCGGCATCTATTGAAATCCTGTACAAATAAACCGGATTGTTGGATGTTTTTGCATGTATATTTCCTGCTGCAATAATCCCAGCCACAAAATAGAAATCAGTAGGTAACTGAAACAGATATAAATAGAGTAATCAACCAAAATCGAAAATAATAACAATAATTGCGATTAAAGTAGTAGGTAATAAAGTTTAATACGTAAAAACTAGTTTGTACAAATTAAAGGAGGAACAATAGGTATTGTCGCACAATATTATTATTAATATAGGTAAATATTAGATTTATAAACGTGTGAGCATTTTGTTTGTTAAACGTCCCAATTTTAAGACCAAAACTATTTTAATACAACTCATATTTAACGATACATTTTGACTAACAATGGTAAATTTTTTACAAATACGTTATAATAGCTACTTAAATTTCTCTAAAAAACCTACTCGTTACGGTGCATTTTAGAAGAGACTAAGGGCTGTAGAACAATTAAATGGAAGTATTGTTTAGCGTATTCAGCGTCCAACAATTAGTGTGCGGACCGCATTCTTGGGCGAGTGTTTACCAAAATAATTACATTAATTGCCTCGACCCTGTTAATTGTTTTATTGTTTTGCTGTTACTTATTTTTGGGTTTTTGTGTTTTGGTATTTGATTTCACGTCTAAAAGTGCTCGGGATGAATATAACGATATATACATATATATATATATATATATATATATATATATATATATATATATATATATATATATATATATACAGATTGAACCAAATTAAAACGGAACATACAATTTAATACATGTCTGTTTGAACTGCATCTGAAATAGTGGACCAATATAAAACTTGGACAAAAATAAATTCATACCTGGGTATAGACATTGTATAAAATATCGTTCAACTATCTGTCTCGCAACAAAGTTGTTTGCGTAAGACGGGTTTGTCTAAGGAAGATAGTTCAGGAAATGAAGCTCGAAAAAAGTTAAAACCTCGCAATTTTTTCGTCCTGCATGTATCCAGTTAAAATTTTAGCAGAAGGTAGGTAATAGCCCAAGGATCAAAATCTATATCGAATCGAAGTGCGCTGAAGGGTTTTAGGGGTGAAAACTACCCCTAATTGTCAAAAATTATAAAATAACATATTAAACCTGAATATGGGTAAGATTTGGTTTGAATTAGTTAAATAATGATTATTTTATACTTTTGAATAGAGTTCCATCATATTTCAACCCTTAAAAAGTAACCCTTGTTAAAGATTAATGTAAAAAAATTACTAATTCTAAAAAAATTATTTCGCCTTGGATCGATTTGGATAAAAATTTGGATTTAAGCCCAATTTACCCTCTGCTTTATAGTTTATGTCATGTCGACGAACCCTGATTGTTCTTAGGGGTGAAAACTACCCCTAATTGTCAAAAATTATAAAATAACATATTAAACCTGAATATGGGTAAAATTTGGTTTGAATTAATTAAATAATGATAGTTTCGTGCTTTTGAATAAAGTTCCATTATATTTCAACCCTTTAAAAGCGACCCTTATTAGAGATTAATATAAAAAAATTAGTAATGCGAAGAAAATGATTTCACCTTGGAATGATTTGCATAAAAATTTGGAATTAAGGTCAACTCACCCTCTGCTTTATAGTTTATGTCATGCCGATGAACCCTGATTGTTCTTAGGGGTGAAACTACCCCTAGTTTTCAAAAATTGTAAAATAATATTACAAATCTTAAGATGAGTGAAATTTGGTTTGGATTAGTTAAATAGTGATTTTTTTATACTTTAAAATACAAATTCATACATTTTCAACCCTTAAAAATTAATTGTTATGAGTGCTATAGGTGAAAACAATTTTTTGCTAAAATTTTGCAACTTTTCAAAATCACCCTTTACAACATTGCAGTTTTTATAAACTAATTTATAAGATATAAATTGAAAAAAGTAGAATTAAATACAAAAAAATTTATCAACATAAAAATGCACCATATATTCTTATACATTTACATAGATAGTTGAAAATATTTACATTTATAGGTAAAACAATTATAATATTAATTTTATTCGTCATCAATTACATCTTCATCGTGATCTATGTCATCCTCATCTTCTTCAATTATTGGTGGACTGTTATTGCACCCTTCACCTGAGCACCCAGAACAAGTAGAGTTACAGTATAAACCAACTTTTCTGCACCCACATGAAACGCCGTATCCTTTTTTGCATTAGCAAAAAATAATTTTCAAAAGTTCATCGGGTGCAGGTTGTTTTTTCATGCGTACGGGTAATAACAAACCATCTTTGGAATACCATCCCCAATCTGTTGCTCTGATATTTTCATTGCCAAGCCCTAGACATACGAGCAGATGTTTTATTCTGTTGTATGAGATTTCAAAATAAGAACGCTTAAAATTTCTAATGTATAACGCCATACTAGCTAATATACCGGTTTTGTAGATTATTATGCTCCGAAATGTACTGTACTATACTAATGGAATTTTCCGGAAAAAAATTAACTGGTTTTTTTTAACGTATTTCCTTTAATTTTTAGTGTTTCTTCAAAAACGATTTGTAGAGGTTTTTAAGAGCTACAAGAATCTGTGAATTAAATCTTTTTGGAACCCTTGGTTTTTAAATGGGGTGAGTTTAAAGGGCTCGAAAAATTTGGTAATTTTTATTTTTTTCATTTATTCAGTGTTTTCGGGCATATTTAAAAAAAGAAGGGTAAAAAATATGAAATTGTAAATCGTTTCTCGCTTTAAGCTGTACTTTTTCTAAAACTAAGCATTTTAAATGGGTCAAACTTCTTGGACGTAATAACAATATATGTACAAAGGGAATTGCAGAAGGGTGAAGATCGATTTTAATTATGGGGGTGGTTATTTGAGGGGGGTGGTCTATTTACGCTCTTTAAAAAAGATTTTGTGAGTTTTCTTCCAAAAATGCATTATTTTCCCGATATTTGACTTTGAATCTTTCAAATTTGGCATTTAAAGAAAACCGCTGAACATTGATAGGCCGTATTCGGTTCCTATTATATCGCAAAAATATTTTAAAAAATGAGTTACATTTGTCTTTTTAAAAGCTACAAATTTGTTCTCTACAATTTTTTTGATAAAATGCATCATTTTCGATTTATTCGCGAAAAATCGATTAAAAACGTGGATTTTTTCGTCTTAAAGTTGTTACTTTCAATCGCGAATAACTTGAAAAATATCATTTTATAAAAAAAATTTATAGCACATTTTTTGTTTAGAATCACTTTTTTAATCGAAACCTGTAGTTAAAACGTAAAAAAAAAATTCACCCCGGAGATGGGGTGGCAACCACCCCCTAGGCTTTGGCGCACTTTGGTTCGATTAGATTTTGATCCATAGGCTATTACCTTCTGATAAATTGCAAGTCAATCCGCGCAGCACGAAAAAATTGCGAGGTGAAATGCTTCATTTCCTGGACTATAACTGGTTTGACAGCATAATAAAATCGTAGATTTATGTGTAGCTTTCAATTTTTATGAGTTCAGAATCCAGCAGCCCGCTAAAGTGTTGGACATTTATAATGTAATTATTTGACAATCTTTTGTTGGCCAACCACTTACAGCAGAATTGAGCCGAAATACATTATATTCCTATGTTCCGAATTTATTTCGTTCAATCTGTATATATATATATATATATATATATATATATATATATATATATATATATATATATATATATATATATATATTGATATTACATTAGTAACTTGAGCCAAATTTATCATGCTCTAATATTGCAGAATTAGTCTTACTATGTTATTTACTTTAAAAATTGTCACCTAAGGTGTTTTCTTTACATAACTTCTCTTTAAATAATTTTCAAATATAAATTAAAATAAATTAAATAATAAACTCTTCCTTTAAATTATCCTAGATTTATGCAACCTATATTTCATGACTGCATGATTTCATGTCAACGTTGCCTTTGTACAATTGTATTAATTGTTTCCATACAAATAGTTTATTACAACTTTATTGTTATAAATTGATTCATAGAATCTTATTAAATTTCGTTCTAAATGTGATGAACCTTGGATTGTTGGAAGTTTGATCATCCTTCCCCTGTGGCTGGCTAACCAGTCACAACGTAGACTATTAACATATGGTTTTTTGGATTGACTTCTCTTGTTTGTTCTTTATTTCATCTTTACCGATCACTGGAGGGAAAAAAGGAGTTCTCAACCACCTTTTCCTTTCAGTTTTATGGTTTTTACAGACAGTTTGTCGGCCAAATTTTGTCATATTTTTAAATAAACCGCTCTATTGTACTGGAGTTGGTAGTAATACGCCTTGTTGCTCTGTCACTCGTTGACCTATTGGCATCTGTCTTTTCACGTTGTTGACGTTCATTTCACCGGCAGCACTCGACAAGCTCTCAGTGGTAACTTCATTATTACTTTTAAATTACTAAAATTTTTAATTAAACATTAGAATAATGCCACCTAAAGTTAAAATGAAACCTTAATTATTGAATTACTGTTGGAAGTGCATTCTTGGACCTTTTAGTTCTTTTCTACACTAATTTTGTTTTTTATAAATTTTTTACCTATATTTTTTTACCATACATGTACAACTACCACATGTTTTTTTTTGCTGTGCTAATTTTATGAAAATTGTCAACTATATTTAGTTCAATTTATTGTTTATACAACATAATTATACAATGTCTATTGTCGTAAGCTTCTTTACAATAATTGTTAATATCATTGGCTGCTACATATCTTTTTGAGGTAACATACTTAATAGCTCTTCAATGGATGTTCGGTTTTTCATATTGTTCTTGTTAGATGAACTCATGATGCTATCAAATTGGATAGCGAAACGTTTTTAATAAATAGATGAAGTAGCCATCATCTTTGTCTTTTTTCTCCAATTTTTGACCGAAAAACCCGCCACTCTTCGAGTGATCCTTATTTTTATATATATATATATATATATATATATATATATATATATATATATATATATATATATATATTTATCTGAATAGCAATGTACATATATATATATATATATATATATATATATATATATATATATATATATATATATATATGTATATATATATACATTGCTTTTC